AAGGAATGACTCCTGACCCCCCAGTCCCCCTGCTCTAACCACTAGGCCTCATCCCTCCCAGAGCCAGGCAAGAACCCAGGTGTCCTGACCCCCAGTCCCCTGCTCTAACCACTAGGCCTCATCCCTCCCAGAGCCAGGCAAGAACCCAGGTGTCCTGACCCCCAGTCCCCTGCTCTAACCACTAGGCCTCGCCCCTCCCAGAGCCAGGCAAGAACCCAGGTGTCCTGACCCCCATCTCCTGCTCTAACCACTAGACCCCACTTCTTTCTGCAGAGTTTGGATTGCTGGGCGAGCAGGGCATATACACATATGCATATACACCCTGCCCCAGTCAACAATGTTTCCATAGCCCTTGTCAGCAGATGGGCCCCCATTAACCCTCCCGTGCCGGCCTCACACCCCAGCATGCAGGCAGGTCAGTGAGCTGAACCCCAGTCAGCAGAGAGATCGACAAGACACTGTCCCTGGGGGGCACAGGACGGGGCAGGGGGGTGAGAAAACAACAGCAAGAGGCACAGAGGAGAGAGAGCAAAACCAAGCAGGCTTAGAATAAAAGAGTCTCCTTACATCCGTGTGACTGGGCAGCTTCACCCTGCTCTGGAGAGAGAACAGCATGGGATATAGTTATCATCGTCAGCAAAGCGACCCGGCCGAGGACGGACCCAGCCCCCGGAGCACGTCACCAGGGCCAAGCCCACCAGCCCGAGTGGGATCGGACCCCGTGTCCTCGCCTCTAGACGCAGCAAGAGTTGGGCCCAATTCTTTGCTGGGGTAAATTGGTGCTGTTTGTGTTGGCGCCAGGGCACGCCAGCAGAGGAGCTGGCCCATGGTGCTCACAGAGTTTTGTTCCACCCCCGAAATGGCTCCGTTGGCTGCTTGCAGACTTTAGGAAATACCTGTGATGAGGCCATCAGTTCTCATGCAGCCCCACCTGCAAGAGTGTGATGGCAGCTGCAGGAGGCAGACTACCCTGCCCCGCCCCCATCACAGGTATTATGGGGCTCCGTTTGCTTTCCTGGGGTGAGTAGGGGGAAGCACCTGATGACGATATCCTTCCAGGGTCTCCAAGCCCTGTACAAGGCACTAACCCACCAACCTCTCACTACTTGTAGCCTTGTTTTACTACTGGGGAAACTGAGGCACACAGCAAGGCCGTGGCTTGCTCGAGATCACATGGGAAATCAGTGGCAGAGCTGAAAAGAGCCCAGGAGTCCTGGCTCCCAGCCCCCTGCTGCTGCCCTCCCCAGCCCAGGTGAATGTTTCCAGGCACTCCACAGAGCCAGCGAAGAGCTGCGCCCACGGGCAGTGGTACTGTCACTCACGCTAGGGAGCTGGCTAGCCAGGGCTGCTGCGCTTTAGACAAACCCATTGCAGGTGGGCATGAAATGCCAGGCCAGGCCTGATCTGCCCCTGTCCCAGTGAGGGGCGCAATTTACCACCTGGTCTACGGCCTGCTGGGCAGAGCAAGCGTTTGGAGGACCTGGATTTCTGTGCCCACCCGGAGTGGACACTTCTCGGCATCTGCTCCCATGCACAGCGGAGTGCCACAGGACTCCTGCCTTCCTCGCCTTGACACTACAGGAGCCGCTACCGGCTAGCCGGCCTCAGGAGCAGAAAGGCTCCCCCACCTCAATATGGCATCAAATAGCCCCTCTGCTATGTGCGCGCGCACACACGCGCGCGCACACACACACACGCGCACTCTCTCTCTCTCTCTTCCACTGTCTCCCAACCCAACGCATGCTGCTCCACAACTGGCCAGTTTACTACAGCAGACAGCAGCTCACTTCACAATGGCCTTGCCTGCCACTGCCGGCAGATCAGGCCCTGCCGGGCGTGTGCCGCCGGGCTCGCTGGAGGTGCATCGGCCCTAGCATTCCACAGAGGATGGGCTTTACTGCCTTTCCCCCAAAGCCCCAGGGTTCCTCATTCTCCATGGGCGGGCGGCTCTGTCCCCTCTAACCATAGGAGCCAGACCATGAAATCCACAGGAAGGGTAGGGCTGGGCTGTGGTACAGCCACGCAGATGCCTTGCTAGTGCCACAGCTGGGCCGACCCCCCTGCGGCTCATCTGACCTGCAGCACACCTGGCTCTCTGCACCCACCTGCTCTGCTCCAGTTCCCGGGGGCCAGGCTCCCCAGGCCACGGCAAGACACCACCTCCCCAGCCTGGACGCCACATGCATGGGTATCCCCAGCCCACCCGAGATACACAGACTCCCCCCAAAACACCTACCCGTGTAACTGCTCATGCACACAAACATCCCCGGGCAATACAGACCCAGACAACACAACACACAACTACACCTCTGTACGACAACACACACACGCACAATGCACATCCGGACGACACAACATGTGAAGCACGACACCCAGGTCCCCAGACAATAGGCAGCCGGGCTGGCAGATTGATTTGAGCTGGGGAGGGGTGGGGGCAGGGCCGGCTTTAGGAAGTGCGGGGCCCGATTCGAACAGTTTCGACAGGGCCCCAACAGGGATGACTAAAAAAAAAAAAACGTAAAAAAACCACATGGGGCTTGTACTCACCAGGCCGCGCTCCTAGTCTTTGGCGGTGGGTCCTTCACTCGCTCTGGGTCTTCGGCAGCACTGAAGGACCCGCCGCCAAAGACGCGGAACACCGCCAGGTGAGTAAAAATTAAAAAGGCGCCTCTAGCCAGGGAAGGGATTCTCTGCCACTTGTCCCCCACTCTTAGGCACGGGGCCCGATTCGGGGGAATTGGTGGAATTGGCCTAAAGCCGGCCCTGGGTGGGGGTGGGGCGATACACGGCTAGCGCAGACAGTCAAAGAAGCCAGAGGGCTAGTTACCTTCTCTGTCCCCTTGCCGTGTTTTCTCAAGAGCGTCCCCTGCAGAAACAACGTCAGAAGTCGATCAATGGTCCAGAGAGGTGCGAGTGTGCAGGGGTGTGTGTGTGTGTGTGTGTGTGATCATTCGCTGGAGGGGAAGGATGCACTGACTGACCCTCCCCACCCCCCCTTCCCTCACAGCCTGGGGGGCTTTGTTAGCTGGGGATACACAAGGGGAGGGAATGCCAAAGGAGGACATATGGCTGCTTCTCGCAACCTTCCCATCCTGGGCTAGTCCCAGGTCTAACCTATGACGGTGACGGTGGGGGTGTGGCTGGGGGTGTTTTTTTGGGGGGAACTCAGGCACCTCCCCAGCAATCCGAGGGGGAAGCCTAGCGCCCAGGCAGCTTGGCAGGGCGCTTGACACACAGCAGCATGGCAGGGCGGCTGCGCGTTCTCGCCCCAGAGCCTTGGCAGGATGGGCGCGGATTGGCATTGAAATGGGCCGGGCCCTGCCCTGGGAGCCCAGCGGGTGTCTTCCCACAGGGCCCTTCCCTGCAGCGACAATACCTTGCCTGTCACTGCCTTAAGGGATTCGCGGCCCGAGGTCAGGCCCCAGCTGTCAGACTCTGCCCCGGTCCCTGCTGCTCGGGGAGGCTGACGGGTCTGTGGGAGGGGGTAGAGTGGATCGGGGGCACATCCCACCTGCCTGCTAGGCCTCTCCCACTGTGGGCCCCTGGAGGTGATCGTGGCATTGGACACAGCAAGGTAACAGTGCTGGGTGGTGATGCTTTTACAGCCAGCTAAAAAGGAGGGGAGAAGGCAGGGGTCCCAGCTGGTGAAGGTGGAGGGGGGCGTGCCCATTCCCAGCAAAGGGGCGAGCTGCCAGATTCCTGTAGGAGTGTCCTTCGAAAGAGGTTTCACAGCAGCACGGCTGGGATCATGCAAGACACCACAGCTGAGCTGGGGCAGCAGAGAGAGGGCAAAGGGGAGGTGGGCATCCAGAAAGGACAAAAATCCCCAGGCGGGATGGGGGCCCAGGAATCCACACTGCTGTACAGTGGGGGGAGCTGGAGAAGCCAAGCAGCAGAGGTCACATCACCCTTGCAGACGCCCTGCCCCGAGTGGCCTGCCCAGGACGGGGGGACACAAGCCGAAGGCGGCCTGCACTAGGCGTTCTTCTCTCTGGAGCTCCCTAGCAGAGAGCAGGCAGGGGCCCGTGCCCATGCTGTAGGCCAGGTACCGCCTGCCTGGCCTCCACTCAGGGTCTTTAACCAGCCAGCTACCCCATCTTGTGCAAAGCTCCTCTTCCTACCCTAGCGACGGCGAGCCCCAGACGGACAACGGCGAGTCGCTCGGACGCAAGGTCATCCCCTTTAGAGAGCTACAGTCTCGGGGGGAGGACCAGCCCCGCACCGTCACCATCTCCTCCGCAGCTGAACAGCTAATGCCACAATTTGGTAGGACCCACCCAAAACACCAAGGGCTCTCGGCCTGCTGGCTGTGCCTAGCACTGGCTGCCTCTCCGGGGGAGAACTAGGCTCCGTGTGTGGACCTGGGCTGGATCCCACACTGCAGGGACTAAACCTGAATAAGCGTCTCAAAGTCCAGCAGAAAGAAAAGGGGGCAAGGGGGGAATTCAGCACGGCAGGGGGCCGAAAAAGCTGTCTAGTCACAAAACAATATTAAGGGCATTAAAGTGCCTGACACCGAACAGCCCTTCGCTAGTAGCATTTCCGATGCCCTCGCGAGCCCCAGACACTCACTATTAAAGCATTCCAGCTCCCAAGGCCCCGGGTGACAGGGCTGCGCACTGAGCCAGCGGCAGAGCTGAGGAGGGAACCCAGGCGTCCTGGCTCCCAGTCCCCTGCTCTAACCACTGGAGGCCATTGCCTGTGAAACGGAAGAACTGACAGTGTGCTTTGAACAGGCACTGCTGACTGAAAAGTCAGGCGCTGGGCCTTGTGAACATCTGCTCAGAGGACAAGTGCGTGTAGGGCACCTATTTAAGCGCACTCGATTCACTCTCAGTGATCCTTCGCTCCGGAATAACCCCTAGGAGAGCCCTTACATTTCCATTCAGACGCAGCTCAGTCTCGTCACCCACCTAGGGAAACTGAGGCACGACGAGGGGCAGTGCCTCGCCCAAGGTCAAACGGACTGTCAGTGGCAGAGCGGGGAAGGGCTGCCAGGGATGCCTGGTTCTCACTCCCACGCTCTGAGCGGCAACCTAGGCCTGGCCCAGCCTGGTTTGCTAGCGATTGAAACACTGCTACCCGTTTGCCTTCCCCGCACCCGCTGGGCCAGGGAACGCAGAGGGGTTCAGTGCGGGAGTTCACACAGCCCCTCCCCCCAACCCCATCCCACTCCGCGCTGCTCTGAACACCAGCTGGACTGCAACCCTGCAGTGCCTGGGGCCCCCAGGGTCAAGGTTCCCGCCCCCCAGCCCTCTCTGCGTCGCCCCAGTCCCCAGACTCACCCCCTTCTCCTACAGGACAGAGACCAGAGACACGGGTTGCTGACAGACCAAAGGGGCGTCACGCCAAGCCCCAGAAGAGGATGGAAAGGGCTCTTTGTTAGGAGTTGCAGGACAGTCCCTTAAATAGAGATGGGCCGTTGCTGGGCTGCTGGGGCCTGGGAGGGAACCAGCCCCTTAGCCCCAGTGCAGCACACGGCAAAGAAACCCACCAAAGCCCCCGCCAAGGGGCTTGTGGGCACGAGAATGCAGGTCCCATCACGGCCTCCATCACTAGGGCACCAGCCTGCTGCTGACGCTGGTCGGAGGAGCTGTCCCTAGGGACCCCACATCTCTTCCTTCCACCCCCTTCTCCCTGCCACATTGTCCCCCAACTGGATCCAGCCACGGTGAGTTTCCACGGTGCTGCCCGGCGCCTGGGGGACAGGCTCGCCCTACAGATCTGGGCACAGGAGGCGGACGAGGAGCAGCTGAGCAACAGGGGGCGACAGAGGTGGGGTCACTAGAGGAGGGAGCAGGGGGGGGCGGAGAGGGGGCGCGGGCAGCCACACAAGACAATAACCGGCTGAGATCAGAACTGACACACAGCAGACAGACAGACAGACAGACAGGGAGCTGCCGTACTTACAATCATCTGCCATTGTGAGGGGAGCGGAACAATTGGAGAGAACAACCGTCACATGAGTGTCACGCACACCCGCCTTCCTGCCTCCCCTGTCCCCCACGGCCGGCCTCACCACCGCCAAACACCGGGCCCACTCCCCCCATGCACCCCCCAGGAATAAACCCCCGGCAGACCCAGAGCGCCAGGGCGCAAGAGGCTGAGCTGGGGAAATCCCCGGCGATGGGGACTCTGGAGATGGGGGGGGATCCCTGGTGATGGGGACTAGAGGGGGGGGGATCCCCGGCAATGGGGACTCTGGAGATGGGGGATCCCTGGCGAGAGGGACTCTGGAGCGGGAGGATCCCCAGTGACGGGGTCTAGAGGGGGGATCCCTGGCAATGGGGACACTGGAGGGGGGGGGGGATCCCCCAGTGACAGGGACTCTGGAGAGGTGACTACAGCAGAACAGGAATAACAAAGCCAGCAGCAACCAAAACATGCCCCCTCCCCCATACCGCTGTCCCTCCCTAGTGCCACAAGCAATCCCACCCTGCCCCATTCCTTCCCCGCC